CTGCCCACGTCCGCCCTTCCCAGCTATCCAAATATCGACCGCTGGTGCCCTTTCTCCGTCGTTCCTGCTTCTTTGCTCGTGTTCTCTTGCTTTCTTCTCGCAGGCACTCTTTTCTTAAAGCTCCCCTGTTTTGGCCTTCCGACTAACCCTACCTTTTCGTAGCTGACTCCGGCGACACTTATCGACCCGTAAGTATCTCTTCTAACGTTTGGCAACATCTTCGAGCCGGCCGACCTTCTGAGCCCCCCAGGCCCATTGTCTATCTGCTGTCAACATACCTCCGAGCCTGCTCGAACTCGCGCCCATATTGTTCAGTTTCACTTGCCCAAAACCACCTGCTCATCTGCCTGCCTGCCCACCTGCTCTACCTCGCGCTTGGCTGTTTTACCCCTCGGCGCTTCTGCCAAAGCCTACCTCCGCTTCTGGTTTGCGGTTCTTTCCTACAGCATGATCCGATGCATACAGAGACGACGAGATGGAGCTTTGAAGGTTGACTTTGGCTACGGCGGTGCAGGGGCTCTCGGTGCACCTTCCAACTCTACCTTCTCGTCTAAACCCACTCGCCCCATCCATTCCTTCGTTCTGAGCCGCCTCTGGCGCGCCTCCCTTCCCTTCACCCTATCTCACTTTCCATATCCCGCCACGTTTCTGTTACCGAAGCATCTCCCCTCCCCAACGCGTTTTTTCCTTCATCCAGTTCTGCCTCTCCAAGCATCACGCTGCTATCGACACGCTGTACTAGATGGCGGCACATAGCGCTAACACTCGGCAGCGGGAGCGATCTCGATCCCCTCGACGCGGACGTTCACGCAGCCCCAATCGCGCCTCAAGACGCCGCTCATTTTCCCCGCGGAGTCGATCCCGCAGTAGAGACGAGTACCGTGGAAGAAGAGATCGTTCACCCATGACTGGCACCGGAGTCCCGTCTGGAGGATCTAGCACTGGGTACGGAGGGGCGCCTCAACATCGATCCTACGAGGAGCGCGCAGCTGCTAGAGAGCAAATGATGAGCAACATTAGGGAGACTTCGCAACAGGACCGACGCGTCTACGTCGGCAATCTTTCCTACGATGTCAAATGGCATCACCTCAAGGACTTCATGCGACAAGGTGAGCACCCTCCCCTCCCATGTGTTTCTGCACCAACAAGACACTGTGTTTCTTCAAATATGTGACTCTGGTCTTGTGTTGCTCGTTGAACTGGACTAACTGCCTTTCCTAGCCGGAGAAGTTCTCTTCGCCGACGTGCTATTACTTCCAAACGGAATGTCGAAGGTGGGCGTCTACACGTAGTCTATGGCTGGTTTTCTTTTGTGGTCTCTTCCCTCTGGTTATTGATGGAATTGTTGGATTGACGGGTTGGGACGTGTGTCCACGGGTCTATGTAGGGATGCGGGTAAGCTCTTTCATCAATCATCTCTTGTGGGCTCGCGACGCTGACGAAACATGCAGAATTGTGGAATATGCGACGAGGGAGCAAGCCCAGAACGCTGTGGCAACGCTCAGTAACCAGAACCTCATGGGCAGACTTGTCTATGTTCGAGAAGTAAGTCATGACTGGTAGCACTGCTATTGACGAAGCGAAATCCGGGCTGACCCAAAAACTGCAGGATCGCGAGGCTGAGCCTCGCTTCATCGGCGCCACAGCTAACCGCGGCGGTTTTGGCGGAGGCGGTATGAACCCTGGCGGTTTCGGCGGTGGCGGTGGCGGTGGCGGTGGCGGCTACAACGCTGGTGGCAGCCGACAGATTTACGTGGCCAACGTTTGTTCCCATTCCAATCCAGCCTCGGAATGTCGCCATTTGTCAACTAACGAATATCACAGCTCCCCTACACTGTTGGCTGGCAAGACCTCAAGGATCTCTTCAGACAAGCTGGTGAGTTCGCGATTACAACGCAGCCTTGCTCCCATTACTCATGGTCATTAACTTACACTATGAAAAAAGCTCGTAACGGAGTTGTCATTCGTGCCGATGTTCATCTTGGGCCTGATGGCCGTCCAAAGGGATCAGGGATAGTAGTATTCGAGAACCCTGACGATGCCCGTACTGCTATCCAGCAGTTCAATGGCTATGACTGGCAGGGTCGTCTTCTCGAAGTTCGTGAGGACAGGTTCGCCGGTGCGGGTGGCCCCATGGGTTTTGGCGGTCGTGGCGGTTTCGGCGGTATGCGCGGCGGTTTCGGTGGTGCTTACGGCCGCGGTGGATTCGGTGGTCGTGGCGGCTTCGGCGGTGGCGGCGGCGGCGGCGGCTATGGCCGTGGCGGCTTCTCAGGAGGAGGCGGTGGTGGTGGAGGGGGCTTCGATGCCGGCAACGCAACTTCCGTCCCTCCCAACCCATTTACCGACTTCGCTACTGCCGGAACCGATCGCGGCGAGACGATCTATGTCCGCAACGTGAGTTGACGAATCGTTGTGAATTCGTTGAAATGTCGGTGCTAATAGTTGACAGTTGCCTTGGTCCACCAGCAACGAGGATCTCGTAGAGCTATTCACTACTATCGGAAAGGTTGAACAGGCCGAGATCCAGTACGAGCCCAGCGGGCGCTCGCGTGGTACTGGCGTTGTGCGGTTTGACTCTGCAGACACTGCAGAAACCGCGATTGCCAAATTCCAGGGTTATCAGTACGGTGGCCGTCCTTTGGGCCTGAGCTTCGTCCGCTACCTCAATGCGGCTGGTGGCGGAGATAGCATGGAGACTGACGCGCATGCTGGGTTGACGCAAGACCAAATCATGTAACTTGCCGAATAAGTTCGACACAATTCCGTGTCTAGGCTCGCGATATCGGTCGATAGACCACCCAAAACGGCACATTTCTATACCACACTGCCGGCAAATTGTTCTTGTACCCACTCTCAATCGCAGTCCGCACATTCATTAAATTGTTTTTAATTGCGCTGCGACGAAAAAAAAAATCATCATTCCGATCCATGAGGTTTTCCAGGGGGGCTGGGCTTTGGTGTGCATGGCTGGTCGAGCATTGAAGGTGTCGGTCGTATTCCACACGACATCTCATATAATGTGGTTCGTTAGCTAGGATGGGTCTTTCGGACTACGTGGATGTCAGTCCAGCTGCTTTGATGTGCTGGCCCAACTTCGTCTTGATACTGACAACGGACGTTCATGGAGTCTCAGTTCGGGCAGAGGCCGAGTCTTTCCCACCAACAAGCAGATAGCCTGTTCAGGGCCCCTTACCTGCAATTTACTTCGAATAGCACATAAACTATGCATGTGACGATGGTTGTTGGAGATCACCAGGTAGAGGGCGATAATGTACAGCCGGTGATTGCATCAGATATTGCAACACAGGTAGAAGACAATAACGTCACATGAGCAATCGTTGACTCTGGGTCAAACTCGTTTGTAGCAATCCGCTGCTCAAGTTGTCAGGGGCCGTAAGACGATACTCAATGCACAAGCTGAGTTGAAATGCGCTTGGTTCTTGGGAACCCTCTTGTTTGAAAATTACCTGCAGCAATAGATCTGGCACAACCCCAGTCTTCCGGGTCGTCGTCACACTGTGGATGTTTTCCTTCTAGATCATTCCTGTCGGTCAGTTTCCTGCAGTTTGCTACCCCGGAGACTACTTGACGCACCTCTAGTCATCACTCGGTGCGTCACATCCACAGGAACGCCGGCTGGCTGGTTGCATATTCGTTCCATCGGCACCTCCGATCAGCTTCACGGTCTTCTTGCAGCAAAGGAGTGTGCTAACCGCGATTCTCGTTTCGCCAGCCTGCCCACGACTCAATATCACATATAAGCCCGACATTGCCACAATGCAAGAGTTAAGCTTTTGCATGACATCCACAGCATTGGACCTATCAGTATTGCATACCCAAAAACAAAGAGCAAATGTGCGAGCTTCATCTACACAGGTGCCCAACCTGTGGCGCGAGATGGGTGAGCCGCAAGAAACTAGCAAGTTGTGAAAGCAGCGACCCAACTTCCCGATGTCCAGAGAGCTTGTGTATGTATGTAGGAAATCCAAAAAGGCCAGGGCGATGTGAGTGCGGAGCATGTACACGAGTCAGGGAGGCACTGGAAGCATTTGATGATGACGCTTATTCCTGCTCTGGATATGGTGCATTGCCCGGTGACTACAGCACTTGTTCATCAGACAAATAGCGCTGTGGGGCATGAAGACGCGAAGTTGGACTCGTAGGATCTGCCATCTGCTTTTCGCAAGAGTATGGCCTTCCGGTTCGCTCCCGACATCTGGCCGAACACGCGAGGGCTATCTGCGTCTGAATGTATATCTGCATGGTAGCAATCCCGGGATGAATACCCTTCAGGAAATGGTCTGTAGAACATACTCGCTTACATCCCATCGTCAGCTGGAGAATTGCAGCCAAAAAAGAAAAGAAAAACAAGGCCGTCAAGACAGTAAGAGGGATTCGGGTTCGCAGTCAGTCCTGTCCGGTCTGACCTTCCTCCATTTCCTTCCTGATCGTCTCCAGCTCGATTTTCACCCGATGGCTATGTTGCGCAGACAGTTCGTGGGGGTATTAGCCCGGGCTGTTGAAGGTTGCCCTAAAGTCGTAATTCGTTAGGACGCAGTAACTGTTGGCGCTCCCCCCTTCTTTCTTCGGGCCTTTGCCTTCTTCTTGCTTCTGTCCCTGGGCTTGAGAGCAGTCATCCCGCTCTTGCATAGGTCGGCATATCGAGCGTAGAAGGCGTCCAAGGCATCAACCTCCACAACAGTTGACAATTTGATCTTTGCATCTCGGTGCATTTTGGATTTGCCGTTGGAGGCGCGGACCAGCACGGGTAAGGGTTTCGTTGGGTTTAGGTCCGGAAACGGATCGGTATCTGTCGCAGCGGGAACATCTTGTCCGTAGGAGACTAAGAACGCCGATGTTAGTGCAATTGTACTCTCCTGTCCCGGGCTCATTTGCATACGTCGCTTCTGAACGAGGAAGATGGAGCCATGGCCTTTGCTCTTGCGCTGCTCGAAAAGGTCGGCTAGCTTGCCGAAGAACTAACTCGGTCAGCTCAGCCTGCGCGTGATGCGGGTGAAGACAAGTTATGAAAAAGAAGAAGAAGAACAAAGAAAAAAAAAAAGGAAAGGAACCGAGACACGTACTTCGTCGTGGCTCAAATGACGAGCCATGATTCAGTCTGCAGGCCGCTTGTTGGATGTTGCGTTCTCATCAGCCTTGGGTCCGCAAGAAGAGAGACGTCGTTGAGCATATCAAATGCCCCGCCAAATTGATCTTGTCAAGGACCCCGTGCGCCCAGCCCTGGATTTGCGCCTTGACAACTGGAGCTAGGTGCTTTAAGGTTAGCGCTGGCCGCATCCCTGTCATTCCTTCGCTCGCCAGTCTCCATCGGGTCCGTGCTCCATAGAAAAGTTCCAGGCGACGCTTCATGAAGACTTTGAAAAGAAAGTCAAAATTGTCACATATCTTTTCGCTTTTCCTGCTGCCTCTACCTTTGCACTCGATCTTGGCGTCCCTCGTCGTCTTACTTAAGGGACCCAATCTGGTGATTGGCCTCAATCCTGTAAACCCTCCCCGACAATGCCTCCCAAGCAGCTTTCTCTGCCGCCGAAGCTCCTCCAAGAGATTGGGGCTCCGGGCGAGCCCAGTGCCTCTCGATCTCGCGGGCGGTGGAAAAGCCAAGATCAGAACAGGAAGGACCGTCGCAAATTTGAAAGACAGTCCAAGAAGCAGCGCCAATCCCTATTTTTACAGGATTCGCATTCAACCAAACGCCACTATGCACGGGGGCCAGAGAATGAGGATAACGATGACGATGACGACGCTGGTGGTTTGAACGACGCAGACCGTCGCGCCGACAGCCACCTACAGACGATAGAACCGCGCGCATCACCGCTGTCTGCCTCCAAGAAGCGCAAGAGGAGCTCTCCCGAGTATGCCGACGATGTCAAGGGCGAACAGCCCGCCATGAAACAACCTTCGCGTGCCGTTCGCGACCGGCTAGCCCAAGACAATGCTGAGATCGAGCAACTTGAACGGAAGTTGGGGCTTAGAAAGGGTCGGAAATCACTGCCCCAGGCCTTTAAAGATGACGGATTGGTGGACCTGCTTGGCGATTTAAGTAACGGCAGCGGCGAGGAGGAGGAAACGAAGCAGACCAGTGAATACAAGCAATGGCTTGCGCACAAGCGGATGAACGCGAACCGATCTCGAAACGATGCGGCATATGTTGCAGAAAGCGGTGAAGATGACAGAGTCTTCGACCAAGGCGACGAGCCATCGGAGGACGATGATTTGAGCGATTCAGCAGAGGAGAGTGACAAGGATATTAATGATGACGATGCGGAAGGCGTCAACGATGACGACTTGGGTGACCAGCAATCTTTTGTTGGTTTCGGTTCAGATTCGGAGGAGATGCCAACAGCTCCTAGACGGGTCAGGGAAAATCCATATTTGCCACCAGTGGCTGCTGGCACACAGTCCTCAAAGTACATACCGCCATCAATGCGAGCCAGAGTGGGAGGCGACACCAACCTCGAGGCCCAGATTCGCAGAAAGTTGCAGGGTCCCGTCAACAGAGTTGCAGAAGCAAACTTGGTATCGATTGTCGGTGAGATTGAGAAAGTCTACCGTGATTATCCAAGAGGCCATACGAACAGCATTTTGACGGAACTACTGATGGCTCAGATTTGCGACCCCACAAGCAAACCCGACACCCTTTTACTTCTGTCCGCTGGTTTTGTCGCTGCTCTTTATAAGGTCATCGGCATTGACTTTGCGGCACACTTCCTGACGACATCGGTGGAGCGGTTTCAACAAGAGAGGAAGAAGGCGACGACCGCCGCTAGCCAGCAACAGGTTCCCACAAAAGAGACATCCAATTTGATTACAGTCCTCGCGGAGACGTACATTTTTCGCGTCATTGGCAGCAATCTTATGTTCGACGTTGTGCGGCTTCTACTGGGCGACCTCTCAGAGCTGAACGCTGAGCTCTTGCTGCGGGTCGTTCGCGTAGCTGGGCCCCAATTGCGAAAAGATGACCCGTTGGCCCTCAAAGACATTGTCAGCCTGATGCGTCCTGCAGTCGCTAAGATTGGGGAGAGTAACGTCACGGTCCGGACGAAATTCATGATCGAGACTATCAGCGACCTCAAGAACAACAAACTGAAGGCCGGCACACAGGACTTCGTCATTCTCAACGACCATGTCACACGCATGAAAAAGGTTCTGGGTTCACTTGATACTCAGAAGCTGAAGGCCACGGAACCACTACGAATTGGCTTACGGGATATCGAAAATGCGGATAAGACCGGCAAATGGTGGCTTGTGGGGGCCAGCTGGGCTGGCGTAGGACCTTCAGAGGCGGACGTCCAGAATACTCGCGGTTTCACGAAGAATACGGACGACGGCCATGACTTTACTGACGAGGGTGACGCCATTGTGGTCGCCGATGCCGACGATCTCATAACCCTCGACTATGCACAGCTTGCGCGAGAACAAGGCATGAATACGGATGTTCGGCGTGCGATTTTCGTTGCCCTCGTTGCGGCAGCTGACTATCAGGACGCATACATGCGCATTCTGAAGCTCAAACTCAACAAGTACAATAAACGCGAGGTGCCGAATGTGCTCATCCAATGCTCTGGAGCGCAGCAGCACTATAACCCTTACTACACCCTTGTAGCTAAGAAGTTCTGTAGTGACTCGCGCATCAAGTACGCGTTCCAAGACACAATATGGACCCTTTTTCGACGGCTCGGCGAGCCGTTATTCGGGCAGGAACCAGAGGATGAGGATGAGGAGGCCACGGACGATCGCAGGCTTATCAACACAGCCAAGATGATGGGCAGCCTGGTTGCTGATGGTTCTGTGAGTCTCGGTGTTCTCAAAGCCCTGAATCTTGCCTACGTAAAGAACACGACAAGTCTTTTCGTCGAAGTATTGCTCATCACTGTGCTTCAAGAGTGCAGTCGGGCCAAAGACAGGACTCTAGAGCAGGCTCTCGGGGTGGCGTTTAGCAGCGGGCTGGCGCCCGAGCTCGCTCGAAGCATTGCATACTTCTTGCGGGAAAAGGTGCGAGATACAGATCTTGTAGACGGCAAGAAAGACGCCAGGAGGGTGAAATTGGCTTGCAAGGCTGCTGAAGTGCTTTTACGAAGGCCTACAAACGATGATCACAGGTAGATAGAAGAACCAGGGAAGAAAAACAAGAAGGAAAGACGTCAAATCTCAAGCCTCAGAAGGCGGGCGAGTGGACGTGACTTCCGTATGAGCGTGTGCAACAATCGCAGATTGATACGGCAGCGTAGCATAGGTCGCGTGGTGGTGTATCCAGTCCCGCGATGTGTTCCCGAAAAAAAAAGGCATTTGGAGCCGTTGCGGGTGTTGGATTAAGTGAATCCTGCTAGTAATGTCTAACGGCGGCAATGCTCTTCTAGTAACAAGCAAATTGCTGCAGATCAAAGATGTGGCCTGGACCTCCGTATAGCAAGCCCATGGGCTGGTGTCAGCATGTTCCAGGCTGTTGCTGACATTATTATGCTTCATGGTAATTCTCGTCCTTTAGCCGGGGAATCGGCGCCATATCCGTGACAGACGCCGAAGTAGGTATGGACGGAAGGGTAGCCGGGCGGGTTGCGGCTAAGATCGCCTGGACGCGGGAGATGACGGAGGCGTATGATACGGAATGGAGGAGAACGTTGGGAGCCGCGGCCTCTAGATTGCATAGTTCAGCAAGGGGATACCGGGGTTATGCGCTTAACACGTATATGTGCGACCTCCATCCCTGCAAACCCAACCGCTGGAGACTGGATGCAGGCTACTGGACGTGCCCGCCCCGGCAGGCGTAAAATTCAGCACCCCCGTCCCATGATTGATGAGGAAAGCTCCAATTCGATCCGAAGCTTGCCCAACATTAGACTGCGCCGTCCCGTCAATTCAACTATCCCACTCATCCACACACCTTAGGGAACAAGTGTCGCAACAATTTCTTTCCTTCCCTCTCGCACCTCCCCCTCTCGTTCGTTTCCTTCTGAGCTCCTTTCAATTGATCGCCGATTCGCCATCCCGTCTCAGATACCGCCATGCTGTCCAGTCGATTGATACCCCGTACCGCGGCCAAGTCGGCATTCAGGAAACACACCTCGTGAGGCTCCCTCTCTTCTCCGACTTCGCCGTGTGCCTGCATCACCCATGTCACGGTTCATGACGCTCACACTGTCTTCCTCTAGTCTGCCCGCCGTTGTGCCCTCTCAGCTTTCAAGATGGAGTCGAGCCTACGCCTCTGCCTCTGGTGGGTGAAGAATCCTATGCCTGAATGATCTCCTGGAAAGGAACATATAACGTTGCGCCAAAGATGACATCAGCTGACGTTTGCGCCTACAGAAGAGAAGGATCTGGTCATCATTGGTGGCGGTGTTGCTGGCTATGTCGCTGCTATCAAGGCTGGCCAAGAGGGCATGAAGGTAACCCGCGTTGCGCGCTGCGCAGTCAAGATATCCGGTTAGCAGTGCGACTGACTGAGATTGTCTTTAGGTCGCCTGCATTGAGAAGCGCGGCACCCTCGGCGGAACCTGTCTTAACGTCGGCTGCATTCCCTCCAAAGCACTTCTCAACAACTCTCACCTCTACCATACCATCAAGCACGACACCAAAAACCGCGGAATCGACGTCGCCGACGTCAAGTTGAACTTGGAGCAGTTCATGAAGGCCAAGGACACTGCAGTTGGTGGCCTAACCAAGGGCGTCGAGTTCCTCTTCAAGAAAAACGGTGTTGAGTACATCAAGGGCTCTGGCTCTTTCGTCAACGAGAACGAGATCAAGGTCGACCTGAATGACGGCGGCGAGACGTCGGTTCGCGGAAAGAATATCCTGATTGCCACTGGAAGTGAGGCGACTCCCTTCCCCGGCTTGGAGATTGATGAGAAGCGTGTGGTCACCAGCACCGGCGCGCTTGCCCTGGAAAAGATACCCGAGTCTCTTGTCGTTATTGGAGGTGGCATTATTGGTTTGGAGATGGCTTCTGTGTGGTCCCGACTGGGAAGCAAGGTGACAGTTGTCGAGTTTCTCAACCAGATCGGTGGCCCCGGAATGGACGCCGAGATCTCAAAGAGCACTCAGAAGATCTTGAAGAAGCAGGGTATCAACTTCAAGACCAGCACCAAAGTCGTGGGCGGTGACAAGAGCGGCGACAATGTGAAATTGGAGGTTGACGCTGCCAAAGGTGGCAAGCCCGAGACCGTACGTACCCCTTTTCGGGATGCGAATAGCGAGATGGTTCTAACGTTAGTTCTAGATCGACGCTGAAGTTGTCCTTGTCGCCATTGGCCGTAGGCCGTACACCGGAGGTCTTGGCCTCGAGAACATCGGCCTGGAGGTGGATGAGCGAGGACGCGTCATCATCGATTCCGAATACCGCACCAAGATCCCCCACATCCGCTGTGTGGGCGACGCAACCTTCGGGCCCATGCTTGCGCACAAGGCTGAGGAAGAGGCTGTTGCCGTGGTCGAGTACATCAAGAAAGGCTACGGTCACGTCAACTATGGTGTCATCCCTTCCGTCATGTACACGTATCCCGAGGTTGCCTGGGTCGGTCAGAGCGAGCAGGATCTGAAGTCCCAGAACATCCCTTACCGGGTCGGTTCCTTCCCATTCAGTGCCAACTCTCGCGCCAAGACCAACATGGACACTGAGGGCATGGTCAAGATGCTTGCCGACCCTGAAACCGACAGGCTCCTTGGAGTGCACATCGTTGGGCCTAATGCGGGCGAGATGATTGCGGAGGCTACGCTGGCTCTTGAGTATGGAGCGTCCAGCGAGGATATCGCACGTACCTGCCATGCCCATCCCACTCTTGCTGAGGCCTTCAAGGAGGCTGCTATGGCCACCTACTCAAAGCCTATCCACATGTAGATTAGGATGAGAGGTAAGTAGGCTGATTAGTAAAACTAGCAGACCACGGATGCTTGAAATAAGAGCATATAACGGATGTACTTTAAATGATAGTAAGAATAGCAGATAGAGGTCTACTTATAAGTGGTTTTTATATTTAAATAAGTTTAAAATACTTTTAGAACGATATTATCTCTTTTTATTAAAAAATATATATAGTATTTTTATAAAGTTTATATTTATAATATAGCCTTTTTATAGAAAGATTAAGAAAATTTACTCTCTATATAAATAGAATTTTAGAAATAATATATAAATACTTTAACTTATATTTTAATAAATATAGAAGTATAATAGAGAAACCTTAATGAGAACATATAATAAGTAGATATTTATATAAAGTTAAATATATATTTTAGCTAAATATAACATATTCTTATTTAAAAAAATATATTATAATATTTTTAGCTTATTAAAACTATAAATAATTTAAGATTAAATACTTATTTAAAGTTTATATAGTTATTAAAAACCAACTACATATTATATTTAGTATTCTTTTATAAAAATAATATAAATATGATAATATTATAGTTATAAGTTATAATAAATAAAGTATTTTTATATAAAGTATAATATCTTAAACTTTATAAGTTTTTTATATATAAAATATTAAACTAAATTAAGTATTATTATTATTATTATTATTAAGACCTCTAGCTACTTATTATGGTTTTTACTTAGAACTTATACTATAATAACCTCTAACTTACTCCTTTAGCTAACAGCCTACTAGTTACATAATTTCTTATAGATCGCCCTTTAGTTTGGTTTCCTCTTATGCGCGCAGTTATATATACTATCTATTAGATAATCTTGTTACTTTTAATGTTACTTTAATAATAACTTTATAACTTTAACTTAGTTTAATTATTATAGACTTTTTTTAACTTCTTAACTTTTCTTCTAACTTTTATATATACTTTCTATTAACTTAGCTATTTTCTTTATAGCTTATATTATGCCCTCTAAAGCTAACGTCTATTATAATATTTTTAGAGGCTATTATACTATTACTATAGTGTAAGACTTCTATTAACTAGGCTAACGTCCTTATAGTTTTATAATTATTAGTAATATCTTTAATATTATTAAGCTTAGTTAACTTATTAGCTATACTACCTTATTAAGGATATTATTAAAGTAAGTATAATAGCTAAAATTAGTAAATATAGTTATCTTTTCTGGTAAAATTTATTAAGGTAGATAGGCGTAAGTTATAGCTATAATATTAGTTTTTAGGATTATAAAGTAGGATATAGCTTTAGTCATTCTATTTATAAGGTTTTATATATTAAAGGTATTATTTTATCAATTATAGTAAAGCTAGCCTTATAATTAGTATTGATTCTAGTATCTTAAAGTATATCTTAAGTAAAGCTTTATAGTATAAAGCTTTATAGATTGAGTAGGATAGAATATATTATAAAATTATAGAAATTTAGGTAGTTTACTTATAGGAATCTAAGTAGTTTATATAATAAGCAATAAGCTTATAGCTTAGCGTAGGTAGCATTTTAAGTATATGGCTAAGATAAGCTTTTATATAGCTAATCTTATAAAGCTATCTTTATATAATAAGCTATATAAATAAAGCTATTAACCTTACTAATAATAAAATTATTATTAATATAATACTAAAAGCTATAGTAAGTAGCTATAGTTAGGTTTAATATAAGTAGTTATTTTAAGCCTCTAAGTATATATTACTATCTTCTTACTAAATAAAGTACTAGCTAAAATACTTTCATCAGATTTATTTACTATAGACCTTCTTATAAAGCAAGCTATAAAACTTCATTAAAATAACTATAATATTAATTATATAAGATATTCTAATAGTTTATCTTATAATATATCTTCTACTTTATATAGCCCTTTTAGCAAGCCTCACTAAGGGAGTAAATTACTATATAACTAGTATAAGCCTTATAAGCTTATAATTTAAGAATACTTAGAGAGGTAACTTCCTCTTAAGTAATATATACCTTTTTATAAAATCTTTAATCTCTTCTAACTACTAGCTCTTACTAGTTATAAGCTTAGTTTATTAGAACTTTAATTTTACTTTTTTATTATTATTAGAATATTTTATAAAATAAATAAATTTCTCTCTTCTCTGTTTATATTTCTATTTATATATAATTGCTTTTTATACTTTATGAAATATGTTGCTTTTTTTTAGAAAGATTTCTAAAATTAAATTTTATGTTCAAAATATATAAATTAAGTTAAAGATTTATAAAAACTAATTAGTTTAGCTTAATTATTTTAAAGTTATATATATTATATATAATATTTAAGATTTAGTTAATCTTAATGAGCTTAATATATTTATTTTTAGAAATATAAATGAAATAATTTTTTTTTAAAACTATATTAATATATTTAATAAAGTGAAATAAGATATTTATAATAAAGATCTTAAGGAATAAAAAGTAAATAAAATTTAAAAAGAAAAATAAATAAAAAAAGCTAATTTTTAAATAATAATACAAACTAATAAAATAAAGTTTTATAAATTTTTACTACTTTTATACTTATATAAACTTCTATATTTATATATTTTCTTATATTTATATATATAGTTATATATATATTTATATATTTTTAATTTCTTTTTAAACCAACTAAATTAATACTTATTATATTTAAATATCTTTCTTTTTAAATTAAATATAGAATATTTTTTAAATAATAGTTTATTTTAGTAATTGAAACTTAAAATAACTAAAAAACTAAAAACTAACTTTTAAAATGTATTTAGATCTAACTCTTTATAAATATTAATAAGAAATTTATAAATATAATTAAACCTTAAATTTTAAATAAGTTTAATAAGAATTATATTTTATTTAGATTTATTTTAAAACCTAAAACTTTATTTTTTCCTTAAGTTATACATTTTAGATATTTTTAAATTAAATAATAATATAGATTTTATTTTAAGAACTATATATTTATAAAGATTTATAAACTAAATTACTTTAAATATTAAAAGTAGTAAATTATTTTCTTTTTGAATAGTAGTTAAACCGTTTAAAATAAGCTTATAAAAATAACTAAGCTATTAAAATTATTATAAAAGAGAATTATTTGAATATCTTTTATAAACCTATTTATTTAAATATTAATTGAATAGATTTTTACAACTAATAAATTAATTATTATTATTAAATATTAATTTATAAAATTTTAAATATTTAAAAAACTTTTATAATTAAATATTTCTTTAGAGCCATTAAAGTTTGAATTACTTCTAACTAAATATAGTAAATAATTTAAGATTTTATTATTTATAAAAGATTATCTTAAGATTTTGTTAATCTTAAGTATTATATAAAAGTTCTCACAAGAATTATTTATTTATTTAACTTTTTATTAAAAACAAACTTAGGATTCATAAAATATTTATAATAATTAATAATAAACTTAATAACTTATAAGTTTTAAATTTAATTTTAAAAAGATCTAAATCTAAAAAACTAAAGTTTAAAAACATAAAATTTTAAAGATTTAGAAATATTACTAAAAAAGTTAAAGAATATTTATATTAGAAGTTTATTAATATAAAGTAATTTTAATAATATATTTAATTTTTTAAAACTTATATAAATATTAAATTTACATTAATTAGAAAGATAACTTACTAACTAGTTTTTAGAGTTATTATAAAAATCTAAAATAATATTACAATTAAAATATTTTTAAGAACATAAAAGCTAATTTATTAAAACTTTATAAATAAGAAATAGTTTAAATTAAAATATATCATAAAAATAAAGAGATATATTACTAAAAATATTATATATTTTAATAATATAGTTATTATTATATTTATATTATTATATATAAGTTTAACTATTTTTTAAGATATTTAGAAAAAGATTTAAATCTATTTTTAAATATAAGTAGAGAGAATAATAGTTTTTATAGCTCTTGATAGTTTATAATAGTATATTTTTAAACTTTATTATCAATAACTTAAGCTATTTATAAAATTATGATCTATTTAAGAAATTTAAAAACGTTATTATAAAGAATTAAATTCTAATAATTTACAGAGTAAATATAAAAGTTGTTTATAAATATTTTTATAAATAGAATGAAAAATAAATAAAAGATCTTATTTTTAAGAATATTTTCTATAGTTATTAAAGGTTTTAAAATTAATATTATCTTAAAATCCTTTCTTAAAAGTATTAATGTTTAGTTAAATAAATATATTAATAAAATTTATCATAAAGAATTTAAAGCTTTATTTTTGATATTTATATATATTAAGAATATTTTAGGTTTTAAATATAAATTTATTTTTACTTGTTTTATTTTATTTTTAATATAAATCTATCTTAATATAAACTACTTAAGAGTTATAAATATTATATAATTAATAATTATAGCTTTTTAAGAATAATTCTTTTATAATTTTAAATTTATATAAAGAAATAATATTTATTTTTAGTATTTATAATCTAAACATTTTAGCTAAAAAGCTTTTAAGTATTTAATTTGAAATACTTAAAAAATAAAGACTAATTTATTTAGAATATAAAGATTATTCTATAATTTGTTTATAATAAGTTATTTTATAAAAATTATCTAAATTTAAAAGTAAATATTTATATTAATATATCTGTTAAACCTTATTCAACTATTTAAAAGCTTATTTGAAAGCTTTATAGTTTCTTATAATTAGGGATAAATATATAAAAAGGTTTTTTAAGTTTTATTTTAAAAACAAAATTTGTCATAGAATCTTCTAAAAATTATAAACTTTTAAAAACTAAATTTTTAAATAGAAAAAACTCTTTATATATAAAATGAAATAAGATAATAATAGATTTATTATTATAATTTAAATAATAACTAAATATTAAAGTTAAATTTAAGAGAATAATATTAATATTAAGTTTCTCTTTCTTCATATAACAAAACTAATTTATAAGAAAAACAAAATA